GTAAGAAAACATCCAACAGGAGTCAGTGTATTAGTAAGAGCTGTCAGTAAGAAAACATCCAACAGGAGTCAGTGATTAGTAAGAGTTATCAATGAAAAACACCCAACAGGAGTCAGTAATTAGTAAGAGCTGTCAATGAAGAAACATTCAACAGGAGTCAGTAATTAGTAAGAGATGTCAATGAAGATACATCCAACAGGAGTTGGTGACTAGTAAGAACTGTCAATGAAGAAACATCCAACAGGAGTGAGTGATTAGTAAGAGCTGTCAGTGAAGAAACATCCAACAGGAGTCAGTGATTAGTAAGAGCTGTCAGTGAGAAAACATTCAACAGAAGTCAGTGATTAGTAAGAAAAGTGAATAAAGATACATCCAACAGGTGTCAGTGATTAACAGTGACATTAGCAAACACCAGAAAAACCAACGCGTGTAAGTTTGACTTTCTGCAAGGTAACTCAAAATGGAACATAGCAACAACTTTATGATTAATTATCAATATGTCTGGTTTTATGCTACTAGTGATAGTTTTGGCCATAATCCCAATAGTAACGCACGAGGTGTGAGCGGCTCAAGAAATTTAATTAGTCCTAAGTCCATTTACTCAGCTGACAATACATAAATAATCTTCATAAGTGTAAAATAATTAATAATGCTAACATTCAAAACTATTTTATACATAATGAACAATAATATGAACAAAAAACAAAGTATTTAATTATTTTTGTACGTTTAAGGTAGCACTCACCCTTAAAACTGGGCAAACTTACACGCTGAGGAACAGGGCCTCCACAAATATTTTGCTAACACTATTTATGAATATTGCGATATTCGATTTATATATTTCTTTCTTATTTTTGAAAGTTCTTTTTTTAATACAACAAAGTTTTTTTTTTAATTTCTTATATTTCAAAGGGCCTCCACATACCTTAATCCGACCCTGCTGAGCAAACATTGTTAAACACTTCTTATAACCTTGAAGTTGAATACCAATCAAAATTACGATGTTACAATCTCTAAAAGTACATTTACAGTCGTATATGTCATATGTATAATAAATGCATTAGGGATAAAGAAATACATAACATAAACTTTTTAAACACCGTAGCTTTACTTAGGAATATGGCCCGGCATGGCCAGGTGGATAAGGCGCTCGACTCACAATCTGAGGGTCGCGGGTTCGAAT